ATGGTCCGACATTAGATAAAAAATTATTTTTAAAAAAAAATTCGTAACGGTCGATCAATTTTACGAGATCAATGATCAAAATGCCGATCGAACAACTTTGAAATGGCCTAATTAAACGCTTCTTTCGAAAAATTTAAAATATTTATAAAACAACTTTCTGAAAGGATTACTTTTTCATATCATGCATAACTTTGGAACATTTACGCGTATCTTAAATTGTCCTTCAGTTTCACGCTTTTCACATATTACTTCTTTTAAACAAATAATAAACAAAAATGTTATAAATCCTGTTGTATCTACTCAACCCCGTAGATATGCTTCAGGAATAACCAAAGAAGAGAAAATTTTAGCCCGTGTCGAAGAAATGCGTGCTCAAGCTCAACTTGGTGGTGGCCTTAAGCGTATTAAAGCTCAACATGATAAAGTAATTATTTTATATAATGAAACGAATTATTTTAATGTTGCGATATATTTGGGTGTTTTTACAGAATTGTGTTTGATTAATCAATTTCACAAAAAACGTATTAATCTATGAGTAATTACATCAATACTACACGTTAATCACTTCAAAATTTCTGAAGATTAATCTCCAATATCGATCACGATTTTTGTGAAAACCTCATTGATTCATCTTTTTTATATTAATTAGGGAAAATTAACCGCACGAGAACGTGTTGAATTGTTACTAGATCCAGGCTCTCTTATGGAATATGATACATTTGTAGAACATCAATGTACGGATTTTGGAATGGATAAGAATAAAATTATAGGTGATGGTGTAATAACAGGACATGGTACCATAAATGGTCGAAGGATTTTTGTGTTTTCGCAAGATTTTACTACATTCGGTGGTAGTTTATCAAAAATGCATGCACTTAAAATTTGTAAGATTATGGATAAAGCTATGCTAGTCGGTGCTCCTGTTGTTGGATTAAATGATTCTGGCGGTGCCCGTATACAAGAAGGTGTTGATTCTCTTGCTGGATACGCTGAAATTTTTCAAAGGAACGTTTTATCTTCCGGTGTCGTACCTCAAATTTCTTTAATTATGGGTCCATGTGCAGGTGAATATCAAACTTAATTTTCACCTTAAGGAACATCTCATCTTGATTTTAGCGATTTTATTTATTATTTGTTTGTTTATTTATTTATTTATTTATTGATAGGTGGTGCCGTGTATTCACCGGCTCTTACAGATTTTACCTTTATGGTTCGTGATACTTCTTATCTATTCGTTACCGGACCTGATGTCGTGAAAGCTGTTTGTAATGAAGACGTAACGCAAGAAGAACTCGGTGGTGCAAAAGCACATACTGTCTTGTCTGGTGCGTATAATGGATAGAAAAATTATAAATCAGCTCGACACGACGTGACGCGACCACTTATATATTTCTTTAACATATATAAAGGTGTCGCGCATGCTGCTTTCGAAAACGACATCCAAGCTATCCAAAGGTATTTCATTAACCACTTTTAAACCTGTTAACATTAAGTCTTTACTAACTTCTTACTTTTTTTAAATAGAACTCGTGATTTTATCGATTACCTGCCTTTATCAAATAGGGAAAAGGCACCAGTACGTTTTACGGATGATTCACCAACTCGAGAAGATCCATCGTTAAATCATATAATACCCGCAGATTCGACAAAAGCATATGATATTAGAGATGTAATAACAAGAATTATCGATGATGGGATTTTTTTCGAGATAATGCCAGATTATGCAAAAAATATTGTAATAGGATTCGCCAGAATGGCAGGTAGAACAGTATCGATAGTTGGTAATCAACCCTTAGTATCATCAGGAGTATTAGATATTAATAGTAGTGTTAAAGCTGCTAGATTTGTTAGATTTTGTGATGCTTTTAATATACCTATTATTACTTTAGTTGATGTACCTGGTTTCCTTCCTGGTACTGCTCAAGAACATAATGGTATCATTAGACATGGTGCTAAATTACTTTACGCTTATGCTGAAGCTACTGTACCTAAAATCACTGTCATTACAAGAAAAGCCTATGGAGGTGCTTATGATGTCATGTCAAGCAAACATCTTCGTGGTGACGTAAGTAATTATTTATTAAAATTATTTTTATTAGGAAGGGAACTAAAAATCGGTTTATTAAATTTATTATTTAGATAAATTATTCTTGGCCAACTGGTGAAATCGCTGTTATGGGTGCAAAAGGAGCCGTTGAAATCATTTTCCGTCATGTTGAAGATAGAACTCAAGCAGAAAACGAATATATTGGTATATTCATTTATTCGTTTATTTCTCATTCATTATTTTTTTTTTTAAAAAAATATTTAATAATTTATTTTTATCAATTAATTAATTTATTAACCTAACAGAAAAGGTAAAAAGCTTTATATTAATTTTTTTTTAAAAAAAAAATTATCTAATATTTATTTTTTCTATAAAAATAGTTTGCTAATCCTTTACCAGCAGCACAGAGAGGGTAAGAATATTTGAAACAATTCTTTTTGTTTTTTGCCACTTTTTTCATCTTAATCCCTTATCTTTAAATACTACGTCTTAATTCATTCCGCTTTTTAATTTATTTTTAGTTTCATCGACGACATTATTTTACCTTCTGTAACAAGAAAAAGAATTATTGAAGATTTAATAGTATTAGAAAACAAACAATTACCAATAATTTATAAAAAGCACGATAATTGCCCTTTATAATTCAATCCATTTATTATTTATTTAACCAATTCTCATTGTCTTTTGAAATGTATGCTTAGGAATGTATTATGATTTTAAGTTGATTTTGTATAAATGTAAAATGTTATTATTATTATTAACTAAAATATGATTACAAATCTTTTTTTTTTCCACCTAAAATAAATATGAAAATAAATATTATTTTGAAGATGATGATAAAACATCTGTGGTTATATCATTGGTTGTGGTTGATAAATCTTTTGCATCAACATGTATATCCTTAATTGCCATTTCTAATTCATCCGAAGGTCCTTGTAACCCTTCTAATGTTGATAATTTTCTAACATAATATTGTGCATCTGTCATTAACCTTCATTTATATATAAATATATGTATCAGCATACCAGTATAAATAATTTTAAGTACATAACTTATAAAAGAAAACCAAAATTTACCTCTTTTTACCAATAGCTGTAGTAATTTTGACGTTGCCAATTTCTTCAGCGAGTTTCGTACTAGATGATTTAAATACTTCTGTCATTACATTCTAATTAAAAAATTAATATGATGATTATTATTACGAATAAATTATTTTTCGTTATCTAAAAATAAAATTAGTTAAAGATTTCCCAACTGACCTGTAAAATTTCTGGTGGGAGATATTTGTTTAATACTTTATGTAAGGTCGTGGTTTCTTTTACCAATGTCTCCATGTATTTATTGGGACCTTCTTTCGTACTTACTTCATCCCAATTTATAGCCTTTTAATTTATTTAACGATATTAAATATTGAAGTGACGCATCGTGAATATACTTTAATAAGACTTTACCTGAAATGATTTTAAATGGATAATTAATCGTTCATTCATGATAGACACCAATTTGCCATGTATCTCATTTTGATGATTAATGTAATCCTATACATAATAAAATATATAGATATCAAAATAATTATTATGAACCATATAAAATAATAATAAAAAATGTATATATTATATGTTAATAAAACTTGAAGAAATATATACTCTTTTGATTCGATCAAATTCTGTCAACATAACAGCTTGCTTGGTATTAAGACTATGCCTTATACATTCACGAATGAATGGAATTAAAGCAATCATAGCTCCAAGTGATTGAGACGCAAGTGCTAATATTACAACGAATACAAGAAGTAAATAAATAAAATCAAAAACCATTTATAACTCCCCCGCTCGATCCAAGAATCATGGAAAGACATACCTAAATGTTTTGCAGTAATATTCTTTAATCCGGCAGATCTCATAGCACCAGCTCCCAATATAACTTGACAAGTTCGAGAATTAAATAAATTTAGAATATCAACAACTCTATTCATAGTCTCATTAGTTAATGTAGGTATATTTACCATACATCTTAGATAATCTCCAAGTAATTTAATTAATGTTATACTACATCCAACCACAAAGAATCTCCTTTCTTCAACAAATATGTATCTGCTGCTACCATTATTTAATGGATTAACATGTGTCGTAGTATTTGTAGTACCATTCGATGTGCTACTATTAATGGTACCATGATCATCGCCGTCATTATGCGTCGACGTTGAAAGTCTTGTCATAGGAAAAACCGGCGAGATTGGTGGTGATACGGATTCTAGAGGATCATCTCTAAAATCCGATAATCCTGATACTGCTGCGTTAATTATTTTATCTACAATACGTTGATAATCAATAGGTACAAGTTCTTGTACCCATTGTTCATTTTCAACCAACGCAGCTGCTTGCCTCGTTTTCTCCATATGAAAATGATTCAAAAACGCCTTTGCCTACAAAAATAAATATATATATCATTAAAACGTGATATTAAAAATCAATAGTTTAGAAAATATTTTGTAATTTACTTGTGACATGATCGTTCCACGTAGACCGTAACACATTCGACCACACAAACTTTCACATTCCAACACGAATGCTGAAGTAACATTAAATAATCTATAAAAGTCTTTTTGATTCAGTTGAGCATTTTGATCAGCCCTTACTGCAATTAAATTAGCGCAACGAACGTGCGCCAAATCGGCAGCAGCGTATACAATTTGTGCAGAATCAGATATTGACTGTGAATGATGGTTCTTAGATTCAGATTTAGATTTCTTCGATTTTGTATTAGTTGGTAATGCTATGACCGTTTCTTTTTCAACAGATTCAGCTGACGGAGGAGTAGGTGGTAAGGGTTTATTTGTTAAAGAAGTAGTTCTCTGTATTATTGACTTAATTCCTGTTGTAATCTTAAGCGCGTTGAACCTGGAATTTAATGAACTTGTAGAATTGACAGAACTAGATGAATCGTTCTTAGGGTTTTCTTCTTTATCAAGCGAACTGTTGGGGTCCTTTAATCCATCAAGAGAACTATTAGAATCATTTTTTGGTGTATGTGTTTGTTCATCTTTAACGATTTCATCTTCTGAAATTCGATCATTGTCATTTAATGAAATTTTCTCTTCCTCGGACATATGGCAACCAATCATTTCTACATCTCTTAATATTGTGGTAAAAAGTTCATTATAAATCGCGATTCTTTTCAATCCTTCGAGTAAAACAGCATATATGGATAGAAGCATTTGAAGGAATGTGTCAAAAGTCATTCCTTTTAAGAATTTTGACAAGTTCGAACTATGGAAAAGGTTAAGAAGAAAAAAAAATTAAAATTAAAAAAAAACTACATAATTTTTTAAAAAAAATCACACTGGATCTTTAGTACCTTTGTTCCTTTAAACCATCTACCAATTGATCATCTTTTGAATCATAATGCTAATGGGAAAAAAAAAAATAGTCAAATTATTTGAGCAAACTTTTTTTTTTTTTAGGAAAAAAAAAATTTGACATGATCTACCTTTTGAATCTGTATTATGTTTTTAATTTCTTCTAATATCCTTTCACGATATGCTTGTAAAGTAAATGAAAAACGATTCACTCTATATAATCCTAAAACAAGCGGGGTTATTCTCTTTTTTAAATTATCCTCCTTTTCCATTATTTCCGAGTCAATAATAACATTTATGGATGTGGTGCCGTGTTTTGCTGATTGGGGTATTTTATAATTATAAAGCGATCTTATTGTCTTTGATTTATTTACGGTTTCAACGTGTTCTTCAAAATCAAGAAATAACATATTTAACAAATCATTTTCCATCATCACTCCAATAGATTTGTACATTTCGGTGAGTTGGCCACCGAAATGTACAAGTACTCTGACACTTCTTAGATCAATAGTTCCCGATATTTTAAAACCATCAGCGACGTTACTTAGCCTTCTTACTATCGTAGCTCTATGGTTGACGGTTTCTGAATTGTTCGTTTCTCGTTCGACAACTTTCTCTACCGACTGTATTTTTTGACCCTCGTCACCATGTAAAATAAAATTTGCCTCGTCTATTAAATCTAATGCAGAAAAATAATCACCTTGTCCCAATAACACCTGTATCATTGGTTGTGTTGATCTAATTTCGGAAACCATTTTTAATCCTTCAAAAAGTCTCCCCATATTTGCGCGACGTCTTTTTAACCTTATGACTTCAAGCCCTTTTTTAGCTTGCGAATTATCTATTCTATCTAATTTTTTTCTTAAATTATTAATTTGTGAAATGCATTCTAATGTTTCGGAATGTAAAGCTTGAAGATTTGATAAGGCAGCAAAGAATGACGAAGATCTCAATGAAATTTCTTTAATTAAGTGAACTTCAACTGTATCAAGGTAATGTGATAGCTTTTCTTGTAAAATTGCATTTGTTGAAATTGCGGGGTTATTGGGATTACCCCCTATAATATCTGTTTGCTCACAAACGATATCAAACGTTCGAGGATTTTCTAAATTAAATTCAGGGTCAAAAAAAATTGAAGGAACTGTCTCCAATAAGGGAAGTTCGATAACAGGTTCAGGCGGTCGATCATCTCCAGGTGACGGGGGAGGTAGATGAACCGTATAAGGATTTCGAGTACTAGCAAGTCGATGAACTGGAATTGAACTTCCTACCTCCTTTGAGGTTTGTAAGTTCTCAAGGTTATTTGCTAATAAATTTGTTGCTGATGCAGCTGGAGATTCTGTTAGAGATGTTTCGGATTTTCTTGATTGCGAACCTTCAGCATAAAGTTCTTTATTATGACTATACCTCTCAAATACAGGAGTTATTTGTTTTATGTAACTATTAAAATCAGCTGGTTTAATTTTCCTTATGTTAACATGAGGGACTGTTGGAATATCGTTCTTTGAAGGTCTTACATTGTTAAATGATTTCGCGTTTGGATTATTTAATACTCCGGAAATTGCTAACAATATAATAATTCAATATTTAAATAAGATCATAAAACAATGATTTTTATAAAAAAAAAAAAAAAATCCTTTCAAAAAATACCATTGAAACCGATATCCTTCAATGAAATGAATCATCATAATTTATTAAAAAAAAATATATATATATAAGATAAATATATTAATTAATATAAAAATTTTCTCAGCTACTCTTTTTTTTAAAAAAAAAAATTATGAGCATGATATTTTAAAATTCTTCAAATCTTACAAATATGTAAAGAAATATCATACAAATTAAATACGAATCATCGAATATATTAAGTACCTTGGTAGTCCAAGGAAGTGAAGTCTCTGACATCGTACTAAAATTTGATATTGATGAATTCATTGAAACACGACGAGTAAGACCCCGACTACTATAACCTCGACCATATAAAGACACGGCAGAGGAAACCCGCTGACTTTTAGGAGTACTAATATAATAATCACTATTGTCAAAGCTACGAGCTGAAGAAGAAGAAAATCGACGAGGAGTTTGTGGTAGAGTGGAACTTGATCCTACAGTTTTTGAGGATTTCGGTGTGGTAGAAGAATCAGAACGCCCAGCTCCCGAGGACTCGACGTCCACAGAAAGCGGTTTGGGATTCCGCATAACTTCTTCGTCTTTGTTCATTTTGAGGTCACCACAAACACGGATCGCCAAAAAAAAAAAAAAAGAGAGAAATTCTTTCGTCCTTTGACGAAAGATTAATGGCTTTTTATATTGCAATTACGTGTCAAAACGTGAATGGTCTATGGCTGGTTTGCATGATTTGTATCACAGTCATAGCACGCGTAAACCAGAAATTCGGGAAAAATTTAAGCATTCTGGGGGTTTTATGTTTTTGACTTTATATTAAATATAAAAAATAAAATTTATTATATTAAAAGAATGAATTTTAACTCTTCAAGAACTGCAGTTTTTCGTAACCTTAAATGCGTTAAGCAAGCAGTTTTCTTTGCATTACATGGTCGAGTGAGTAAATTTTAAAATTTGAGTAAAAGGTTAACAAAATTGAGAATTTCGTTGTTTTAATTTTTGATGTTTTAGATTAAATGCAATGTTAATTGAACCATTTTGCTTGATATGAGCAATTAAATTTTTTTTTTTTTTTTACTTTTTAGAGATTTATATCAACTTCGCGTATATTATACCAAGAAACCATCAAAAATGAAAGAGAGAAGGTTCATTTTCCAGGAGCTACAGAAAGTTATTTTACTAATAAAATGCAATTCATTCAAAGTATCGACCCTATACCAACATACCGTGTAATGGATAGACAAGGGAAAATAGATGATCCATTAAATGAGCCGCAGGTTTATTCACATAATTTTTAATAACATGATTTGTAATCATGGTTATTAACAACCTTTTTGTTTTCTTATAGGTAACGGAAGAATTTGCGGTAAAAATATATAAAGACATGATCACGTTAAATGTATTAGATTTGATCCTATATGAAGCCCAACGACAAGGTCGCATTAGCTTTTATATGACAAATTATGGTGAAGAGGCTTATATTGGTAGCGCGGCTGGATTAGATAGTGAAGACGTGGTATTTGGACAATATCGGGAATCTGGAGTGTTATTGTATCGAGGATTCACATTGGATGAATTTATGAATCAATGTTATAGTAATGAAAAGGATTTAGGCAAAGGGAGACAAATGCCAGTACATTATGGATCTAAAAAATTAAATTTTCAAACCATTTCATCCCCACTTGCAACTCAAATTCCGCAAGCATCTGGCGCGGCTTATTCCCTTAAAATGGCAGGGCAAAAAAATTGTGTAATGTGTTATTTTGGTGAAGGTGCAGCTAGTGAAGGAGATTTTCATGCTGCGTTAAATATCGCGGCTACTATGAAATGTCCTGTTATCTTCTTTTGGTAAGTCCCTTGAACGAATTGTTTAGTCACTTGAATATTTTCGACATTTAATAAATTTTTCGTTGCGACAAGTCGGAATAATGGCTTTGCAATTTCGACACCAGCACTTGAACAATATAAAGGTGATGGTATTGCTAGTCGAGGGATTGGATACGGAATTGATACGATACGCGTCGATGGGAACGATGTATGGGCGATTTATAATGTTACCAAAGCTGCGCGAAAATTAGCAGTTGAGGAACATCGACCAACTTTAATCGAAGCAATGACATATAGAATTGGACATCACAGCACATCAGATGACTCTTCAGCATATCGCTCTAAAAAAGAAGTTGAAGATTGGAAACGACTAGATAACCCAATTATAAGATTTCGAAATTGGTTAGAAGATAAGGTAAATTAATGTTTATGAAATTTATTTTAATTTGCGTACTTTTATTTCATTAATATTTCTATTTTAGAATTGGTGGAATGAGAAAGTTGAGAGTGAATTTCGAACTTTGATTCGGAAGGAGATTTTGAACGCATTTTCTAAAGCGGAAAAATACCGAAAACCATCAATTACTGAACTTTTTAATGATGTATATGATCATCCAACACCAAATCTCATTGCTCAAAGACAAAAATTGAAACAATTGATTGAAAAGTATCCAAAAAACTATCCTTTAGAAAATTTCAGAAATGAAGGTAAAGATTTATGAGAATCGACCTTCAATTATTATTAATATGTAATTTAAATTTTAAATATATAATAGCGGAATAAATAGATTTTGTAATACATATTTTCGTACGTTATCTTAATATAAAGGTTTATAAAAAAAAATTGGATAAATACATAGAATGACACGTGATATAAGACACAATGCTTTAAAACAAAAATACCATTCGTTAGGGAAGGTCAGAAATGATGTCATTTGATTTTCGAGGGCTTCCCCCCTGTCATAATATCCAATTAAAGAATTGTGTAACTTTATTTATCACGTGACAATAATTTTAAACTTTGGAAAATTTATGAATTTATAGTTATTTTATTGTTATAAAATTTTATCATACATTGTGCAAA